TGGTGGTAAACTTGCATTCAAAAGGAAGAATGAATTATCTGACAAATACTGAAAAAAAAAGCAAGTGATGAGAAATCATGAAGTTATGAATTACTGAGAAAATATTGTTTTCTTATTTGCCATACGGTGTCAGTACTTCCAGGATTCCCATTGTCAAGCATTTCTCCCAGCTAGGAGAGCACATCATTCACTTTTGAAAAAAGAGAAAAGAAAGAAATCAGTGGACAACAACTGATTTCAGTAGGAGAGATTCTAAGAAGAGCTATGAACCATTAGAACGGCATGCAACTCTGAATCAGCGCATGGAGGGAAGCAGTGTTAGGCAAACAGGATTCAACTGACCCACGCTGGTGACAGCCTTCAGTATTTTCTCACAGGTAATAACTAGTTGCAGAAAAGAAGCCTGAGGCTTTCAACGAATGGCTCACCTTACCGTGATGAAATGCCCCACCCTGCACCAATTATTACTATTATACCAGTAACAACGAAATAAAAAGTAACAGCTGTTATACTTTGCTGTCCTGCCAAGTCTGGCATTTTGTTTGATATGGAACAAAGAAAAAGGCATAATTAATTTAAAATTGATCTTTGCTTCGGAAACCTTCTGGCATTAGAATGAGAAAAATACAAGTTACTACAAGTTGTGAAAACAACTCTGTGTTTCCAGTTTTCTGGTTTCCAGTGTTTGCACTCGACACAGCGTCTGTGTTTGTGATGAAGGTTAAAACAGGAATTTGCTCATACTTTAATGTCATGTGATATCCCCCATTTGGACTGTGACTATGATTACCTCCATAGTTTTCTCTCCTGTCTTCTACCATCTTCGCCTGTTATTTATATGGGTTTTCGTATGGCCACTGTAAGAGGTCAGTGTTTTAAAAACCAGTAACTATCAGCAAGTGGTCTCAAAAGCAGGTGAGGCACTGCTTACTAGTTCTAGGTTTCAAACAATATGTTTGATTCTGTTCCACACTAAGTAAAATATGAAAGCAGAAGGTCATGCTTGGCCAGCTGTTTGGTGCTCAACCAGACAGTGCTCATCTTCACACACTCGAGGGCTCTCATGACAGCCTGCCAGGAGCCAGAGGGAGCCCTGAGTCCAGGTGAACTGAAAGGAACTTCAGCCGGCTACCTTTGTGTTTAACAGGGATGTGTTGCTGTGGAAATTACAAGCAAACTACAGATTCTGGCGTGTAATGGCCTAGCCAGACCAAAACAGAAACATGTGATGCAAGGGACAGTGCTGTATGCTGGGACCTCATTGCTTTATAAACAGCTACAACATTCTGCAAAACAGCAGTTTTTCTACAGAATGCCCTTTCTTCAGCTCTGTTTATGATGCCTTTATATAATGTGTAACTCTGCTCTTTGTTTTTATATGGCTGTAAAGGTGTTTCTTCAAGTCAGAAGGCCCCATTGTTTCTAGCTCCTGGTCTCCCTAATGCTGCTAATCCCATATTAACAGCCTACTGACACAGAAGAGACCACAGAAAGGACTGACTGCCAGCGCCCCTAGCTCTGTGACCCCATGCTGGTCAGATCTGGATTAATACTTGAGGCGATTTACCCCAGGAGGCCTTGTTACAGGTGCCTGTAACTCTAAACTCTCCTTGAACTGCTTGGGGGAGAGGAAGAGGGCAACCTGTACATTCACAGCTGGTGAAGACACAAACAAAGCCCTTCTGTACCTCATCCCCTTTCTTTTCCTCTATAAAATCGGGGTGACTGCAACCAAAAACCCTAGATTTCGGAGCAGAGGCAAGGAGCCAGGCTTCAGCACCCCACCCACAGAGCAAAATCCACGGTGAAGTCCTTCCTCTCCTACCACCTGTCGCTGACAGCAGATCTGCTTGAATTTAGCTTTTCTGGTTACTAGAGATTGTTATCCAGGAAGCAAGATGCAGCCAAACACATTGACTTCCTCTAGTATTTCTGCAGTGATATCGCACAGCTGCATTGGAGAATCCAAGTACAAGAATGGCTCTTACAGCCTTAAAAACAGTTCACATAATTTGCACTTAGTGAAGGCTGGAAAAACAGCATCATTCTTGTTTGGCACTGAGCTCCAAGTGATAGCTCAGTGTACTGTTCTAAACTGCCACATGCATCTCTCCATGGCCAGGCACAGCTCCTGCATTTGCAACCAGCCGAGGGGTCACAGACCTGGGCTGGGGGTTCAGCATTCCTCGTCTCTTCTGGGATGGTTCTGTGGCAAAACGATTTCATTTGGCTTGTTAACCAACTGCCAGTGGTACAGGTAATTGCACTCAGTTACTGTTTGCGGGCCAGGGACCTGTCAGTTTGGCCTTCAAGGCACCACACTGTCCCCTCTAGGAAGAGCGGTGAAGTACAAAAACATACCATACCTTACACAGACAGTACGTTGACCCATAATAATTATTATTATTACACAGCTGCTTTTTTCTTAGCTTCTTAACCAACAGCCCCACAACTCACACAGCCGTGCTGCTCAGTGCATCTCTCACCTCTTCCCTGCCCTTCTCTGCTTCCAAACAACACTGTTGTTGCTGCCCACATGCCTTTCCATAGTCCTTTATTAATAAAGAGCATCTGCAAGGAAGCAGGATCTGACTCACCCCACAGCACAGCTGCCCCTGCTGCTGTTTTCCCACCTGAAACAACAATTCCCTTTCCAAAGTCCCTTCCATCGCCACAGCAGCCAGCTCCACTGTCACCCAGGCAGCATGCACCCTCCTTCTAAGGAACAGAATATTGTTAGCTGCTCTCTCCAGGAGATGCTTTTGAACAAAATCTTTGCATAACGCACACTCACCTCTTTCTCATGCTGTCTCGCTCCTTTTCAGAATCTCAGTGAGGAGCATTCAGTGAGTGCGAGGCTTTTTCAAAATTGATTCCTTATCCATATTTGGGAATTTGTGCTGGGCACTGGCTGGTACAAGCCGGAGTCTTCCCACAGTGCACTTTGGGACTTGTAGTTCCCAAAAAGGAATGTTGTTTTCCCAATTGCAAGAGCCAAGCAACAGTAAAAGAAATCCAAAAAGCTTTTATCTCTGCCTTTGCTTAGCTGCTGGGCCCTGCATTCTGTGCTGTCTCTGTGCTGTGCCTCTGACTTAACAGGCTGAACACGTGTGGGGCCCCTTCCACAGCCTGCAGCACAGCACACAAACCAGCATGCTCTGCCAAAGGTGCTGCCGTGGGTGCTTGTCCTGAACAGACAAGGGCTGTCCTGCTGCCTGCAAGCAGCATCTTGGGGAGCTAGGAGCAGGCACAATGAGATTCCCCACACCTTCTTCTGGCAAAGAAGCTCCCTTTTTAAACTCATGCTTCATTCTTCAATGCTTTTTTAGTACATGTGATTTTTTAATTACTAGTGGACCACTAAAGCAGTGTAATAAATCCCACCTCTCCTGTAGAGATTCATTTAATGAAGAATGTTTCCAGAGTGCAATAGTTATTTAGCAATTAGGACACCCTACTGTTTCCGAATATCAGCTAAAGAAGAATGTGGCACATTTTATAACGCTGCTGCGCAGAACCAGTGGAGATGCTGTTACTGTTACCCAACTCCATTTCATAGCTTAAGCCGCCTGAAGCAGCAGGCTCTCTGGCTGGAGATCTCAGGGGAACATACTCTGATAAGAGAAAGGCGTGTGCCCACCCCACTAGCAAACTGCCTCAGCCGCGAGCGAAGAACGCTCTGCCTCCCTGCCACCCCAAAGCCCTCCTCCCGCTGGCAAGGAAAACCAATGGACTACAGCTGTGCTGGCTCACTTCACAGTAACCTCCTTCGGCACTTGGAAACCGAGCTGGGCAGGCCGACATGCTTGTGGATGGTGACACCTGGTGGTCCCGAGGGGAAAGGCAATGCCTGTCGCCGGGCCCTGACTCCCCTGCGAGGTGTGAGGCTCGGTTCTGCCTAGGCTGCCAGAGTGGGAAAGGTTTCTCCTAGTGAAAAGCTAAGGGTTTAACTTCAGCTAGTCAAACTCTCTTCGCTTGGAAAGCTGCACGGAGGGAAAGGATCTGGGTTCAGTTTCAACTCGAAACCTCACTACGAGAAATACTTCAAAGCCCTGGAAATTGTCCAGAGGAGGGCAATGGAGCTGTGAAGGGTCTGTAGCACAAGTCTTATGAGGAATGGCTAAAGGAGCTCTGGTTGTTCAGTCTGAAGGAAGTTCAGGGGAGACCTTATCAGTCTCTACAACTGCCTGAAAGGAGGCTGTGGAGAGGTAGGGGTCATCCCCTTCTCTGAGTTTAGGCCATTCCCTCTTGTCCGATTGCTGTTAAGTTGCACAGGAGGGAGGTTCAGGTTGGGCATTAAGAAAAATTCCTTCTGAGGAGTGGTGCTGCAGTGGCACAGGCTGCCCAGGGAAGTGGTGGAATCGCCATTCCTCATGGTGTTCCACAACCATGTGGATGTGGCACACAGGGACGAGGTCAGTGGGCATGGGGGGGGGAGGGAAATGGATGGCTGGCAGTCGGACTGGATGATCTTAGTGGTCCTTTCCAACCTTAGTGATTCTGTGATCCTATGAATGAGTGCTACTGAGGCAAAAACAGAGACATCTCTTCATCCCGAGAAAAAGCTTTGTCTCACGCAGGTAGAAGGCATTGCTGGGCAACACGGATCTCCACGGTGCCGCTGAGCCAACGGCTCTCAAAATCCTCACACAGCTCCGTGCCCAGATTTCATCAGAAACCAGCCGATACTGCAACGCAAAGCAGGCTTTACACAACGGACTGCGGTCGCTGGGAAAGCAAACGTGAATCCTGTCTTCAGCCCTTCAGCCCCAAACCCAGTCCCTTCCAACCCGTCCTGGCACCACAGCGCGGCTCCTCAGAACGGGGAGAGCCCGTTTTTAACCGACTCGTCCGCACCCGCAGTACGGTCGGACTACGTTTCCCAGCGGGCGGCGGGTCGGAGAACGTGTGGGCCGGGGGCGGCCCTTCCGCTGTCGTCAGGCGGTGGCAGAGGGGATCCCTTACGGCTTCCCGGTGGGAGAGGGCGGCGCGGGCAGGCAATGGCGGCGCCGGAGCCGGAGCCGGGCGGGCAGCAGGCGGCGGGACTCGGGCCGGGCGGCGACAGCCCTCCCGCCAGCCCTCCAGCGGCCGCCGTGGGCGATGGGCCGTTGGCCTGGTCCCCGGCTTCGGCCCAGGCGGCCTCGCTGCTGGAGGAGGCGGCGGAGCTGCTGGTGTTACAGCGGGACTTCGCCGCCGCCCTGGAGCGCTGTGAGGCGGGCTGCGGCAGCCTGGGCCCCGCGCCCGGCCCCGACAGGTACGAGCCGAGCGGGCTCCGTGCGGTCGTTGTGCCGCTTGCGGGTGCCGGCAGTGCTTGCTCCTAAAGAGGGGCTGCGTGCATGCACCTGCCCGGGTGTGCTGAATTGCCGTTGTTTGGGCGGGGGGGAGGAGGGAAAGTAAGGGCAAATTCAGAGAACTACGAAGCACTTCAGCAGGGCTGTAGCTCAGAGGTGGATAATGCGGTTCTAAGAAGCGCTTAGGTAGGTGTGTTTTTTGTTAGCAGTTGTGCGGAAGTGAAGTGCTCCCTTTGCGTGGTGGGCATTCAGGCTCTGGCTGAGATGAACCGATGGAGAGAAGTTCTGCCCTGGGTGCTGCAGTACTACCATCGCCCTGAGCAGCTGCCTCCAAAAATCCTGGAGCTGTGGTGAGTGTGGGCTGCCGTGCGCAGAGAGCCGGCGTTGGTTAGATTTAATAGCAGGTGAGACTTGAATAATTTCTGGTATTCTCGCTTTGTGTGCCGTGAAGGATGAAGGTGGAGCTTGGGGCAGGCCTGTGCTCAGAAAGAAAAATAAATAAAAAGAAAGGCAGTGATTATTTGGACAGCTTTAAGGGGATAAAGTACAAAACTCTAAGGGAAAGTTGTTCCTCTGGGAAATCTATGTACCTCAGGTGTAAACCTTGGCATGTGTCTTTGTGGGAAGTGCCAGCTGTCTCAAATTCTACGGAGTTATTGCCTTCTAATTTTTCTTTCCTGTTTTGCAGTATCCTGTTATACGGCAAAGTGAGAGAGCCCCAGCTGATGCTGGAGGTTGGCAGTAGCTGGCTGAGGGACCAAACCAATAAGAGCCTGTCTGAGTATGTCTCATTGCTGGAGCTGTATCTGCTGCACGTGCTGCTTCCACTTGGCCGGTTTGAGGGGGCAGAAGAGCTTGTGTACAGCTGTGATGTTCTTGACAGTGAGCAGAAGCTGGCATTTGTTGAGACCATTTGTGAAAAGCGATGTCAGTGGACTCAACAGGAAGAAGTGCACTCAGCTCATGATGAGCAAGAGGATAAAGCAACAGAGACTGTTTTGGGTAGGCTTTCCCTCTGTTGTTTGTATTCCTCTCTCAGATTTCAGGGTTTAAAGGTACACGTATATTAAAGATTACCATCTAGACTGTAATTGGTCATCAACATCCATGCATTCTGTGACATTAACCTATGAATTGTCTGCTCTCTTTACTGTGATGTGTGATAGTCCATTCCAGAAAGTCTGCTTATGCTATAGTGCTGTTGATGACATAGCTTTCACAAGCACTTAGGGCTTTCCAGTGTGTGTGTGGACAGCAAACTGTCACTGGTACATAAAGAGAGCGGAAGCATGTTCCAAAAATGAAAGCTGTTCGCAAGCCCAGTGATCACTGAAGCTCTCTCAGTTGTTGATGTCTGAAACCAGATTGAGACCAGTGGCTCAGAAAGGAAGCAGTGCTTTATCTTACCAGTCATGCCCTTAATTTTCTTAATTTCCTTAAATGAGTTGATGGCTTCAGTTCATACGGTTGTGCATTGACATCTGGCTTTAACAGATTGCAGAACTACCTGACCAATTGTGTTCATGCATTACTTACAAGGAGTAGCAAGTATTAAGTCTGTATTAATACTAGTGTTAGGCCTTACCAGCCTTAAGGAAGTCATGCTGGGTATCACAGAAGGAGATCGTGATTTGTTTGCTGACAATTATAAAGAATGCTTGTTGCTTCTGTGTGTTCTCTACTTCTTCTGTGTTAGCAGTCAAGCCCGTGTAGAAGCAGCCACATCTGGCATTCAAAGATCTGCTTCTCCAGCACTGTAAATCACTTTGTCTCCCAGGAGAGAAGCAGGCATTACTGTGGTATAAATTCGTATGTAAAAGGAGTGTAACAAATAGTATTATGAAATGCTATTCTTTCTCTGTTCTCTATGTAGAAACAACAACAAAAAGACCACAATCAACCAAAACAGAACATGAAAAACACTTGTAATCAAGCTAACAACAGTATTTATATTAATTTCTTAGTGTCTGTGTGATTATTTTAATGTTTTTTACTTTGCCCCAACAGCTTTTCTGATCTGTGTTCCAGGTGCTCTGTCCCAAAAGCTCTTGACCATGCTGACTTTGCTACGAAGAACACTAAGGTCCATGTCAAGCCACTTCTATTTACTTCCTTATAAAAAGATGCTCTTGGCTACTTTTCTGCTGTACCTGGTAGTGGTGAGATTAGACCCAGGTAGAGTGTTAAGTATTAAGCTCTCTTTTTTTAATATATTGAATTGTGGCTATAGAGAAGAAAACTGCTGTTTTGTAATAGATTAGATCTGTATAAATGTTTTGTCTTCAGGAGAGGCAAAAGTTGTGTAGCTAGGAACCTATCAGTGGAGCTTGTTTCAAATATTTTCAGTTGCAATCCATGTAGAAAGATGTAGCTCTACAAAAGCCAGTTTTCTGCAAACAGTGATTTCATCGTCAGTTCTTTCCAACAGACAAAGTGCTGACAGAGAGAGGCAGGCTGGGATTCCTAGATGCAGCTTCTGCCTCAGTGACTTTGAGGTGCTACAAGGTGAATGCCTCTTAGAAGAGCAACTGTAATTTAGGGCTGACCTGTCAGGGAAGCAGAGAGTTGCGCAGGGCAGCACTGTGGTCGTGCTTCTGATTTTCTTATACTGAGGTCTTATAAGTGATGCCTGATGCTGTCATAGAATCACTAAGGTTGGAAAAGACCTCCAAGATCATCTGCTCGACCATCTACCTACCACCAATATTTGCCCACTAAACCATGTCCCTTAGTACAATGTCTCCATGTTTCATGAACACCTGCAGGGATGCTGACTCAACCACCTCCCTGGGCAGCCTGTTCCAGTGCCTGACCACTGAAGAACTGGCTGGTTGTATGACACAGAGGTGGCTACTAGGCTGTGGAGGGATTGGATGTTTTTTGTACCTGGAGACATCCCTTCTGCTGGGTGGCAGGTGCTCCATAGCTATACTGCAAATAACGTGTTGGAAAATACTGAAAAAATCTTGCTAGATAAGGGAGCAGTGCCTTGGGTGAGAGCCTGAGTACTGAACAGGAGGAAAATAAGACACCTTGGTTTCCATTAACTGTAGCTGAGTTAGTTCTTTCTTGATATGTTTGGTCTGTTTCAAAGGGTAGAACTATCTTTGTTTTGCTCTGCAGCTTCTCCTACATCCCTGCCGTTCATTTGCAAACTGGTGCAGCTCTTCCGACAGGCTTGGGCAGCTGTGTTGTCTCCAATCCACAGGCCTCCAATTCAAGACTAAATGTCTTCTGCCTCTGCTCCTGTGTCAGCTTGTCTCGAGGACTTTATGAAGTTCTTCAAAGACTGTTGAAATCGGTGTCCTAGTGGAGATGACCACCTGTGATCTCCTGTACAGTGGTCCTCTCCTTTCTTCAGACAGGAAATGATGGTGTGTGACTTTTGAAGCCATGCCAAGTCTTCCTAACATTGCCTTGGCTATTCAGCACCATTCTGTCCAGCACTGGAGTAAAGCCACTCCTTCTGTAATCTACAGCTGATTAAGATCCTCCTTTTGAAACACTTTGCTTTGGGTTGGCTCTTGAGTGAGAGTTATGTAGACAGTTACGAAGTACGATGCCTGTTGGGAAGATGGTTCCATCCTTGCAATTACCATGCAGTTCCCTGAACAACTGAAACAGCATTCTTAGAAGCAGGAATGTTAAAGGCAGCAGAGGATCAATACTTAGAGGGAATATTCTGTTTTGTCTCAAGACATCTCAAATCCCAGTTCCTCTAGCATGGGGCTGAGGACAAGTACATGGGAGAAAAACACTGCAGGAAACAAAGCCTGTTGTCTTTTGAGCACCGTGGCTTCTCTTGTGACTGATGCCCCCTCATACAGGGGCTCTCGATTTTAATCATATCTATGGCAGAAAGCCAAGGTGGTGTGCTGCAAATACAGCTGTGCTGCACCTACAGTTCTTAAATGCATATTACAGTACCTTGCACTTGCCTGGCCCATAGTAATCTATAGGCGCCCGTGCCAGTGGGAATGAATTTTCCTTTAAATTATGTTCCATATTGTTTAGTTGAACCACTGAGGATGTTGCATTGTTTTACTCTTTCCCTCCCTCTTTACGGACCTCTTCCCTACCTATTACTCTTTACCTACCTTTATGAAGATGTCAGAAAGTCCCATTAGGTCTAGAAACCTTCCTCCTATGCCCATGAAGTCCTGATTTACACAGTAACCATTCAGCAATGCTCTATCATTCAGAACAAACAAATCTTTGATAGAAGCTCTGAGATCCCCACAAATGTGGCAAGAAAGTTACTGCCTTTACAGAAGGTCTTACAAGGCTGGCGCTGTTTCTGATCACCTGGGGCAGAGACTGGAGGTCTGCAGGAGAATAATTAATTCCCATAGATTGACAGCGAGTAAGTGCCAAGGGAGAGAGCACTATTTCAAGATTGCTTCTACAGGAGCAAGCTGCACGTGTCCTGGAGAGAACAAGTGTCAACGGTTTACGGGCTGGTTCGGCCCGGTTCCATGATGAGCGGGGCGGAGGGATCCGCAGATCCGCACCTCCGGAAAAAAAGGAAACAGGGGACCCCAAAATAATTAAAACAGTGGCACCGATCTGAGGAGAAACAAACTAATTTACTAAGTATATTATGGGAATGCAAGATAACACACTATAATACAATATAATCAGAATTGAAGCTAATAAATATAATGAGAGAGAATGTCCGAAAGGTGGATAGGCCTCACCACAACGCTGAGGTGAGATGCGCAGTCCAGTTGAGCAGCAGGGAGACGGGAGCAGCACCCACAACGAAGGGCAGGTGAGAAAAGAGCAATCAGGTGGCCTTGCCAGGAGTTAAACCTCCTCTCCCTGACCGCAAGGTCTCCTGGGGAATGTAGTTCTTCTTCTCTTCAGGGCAGGTACCCAGGACTTGAGCATTGACAGTTAAAGTCCCAGTGCCCCACATGATGTTATGATGTGGAATACCGAAAGCCAAAAATCACAAAACCATGACAACAAGTCAGAGCCATGTGGCGAATGTAGCCAGCTATCCCAGCATCTGTGCCAGATGATTCAGGCTGACCAGCGTCACCCAAAACTACAGAAACGAAGCCGCCTTTCTGGTGGCCAATTTCTATCCAACACACCAAGCTTGTGTAAAGTAGCCGATATAGGTCCCACTGCAGTGTCTTACCATGATAGCCTCCTCTGAAGTGATCATTTGTTTCTAGCAATAGCTCTACACAGATAGTGGCTATTTTTGTCTTCTTTACAAGGATAGCAGCCTGTTCGTGCGCTCTGTCACTTTGCAGCCTACCAGACCACTGGTAAAGTCTGTGTCTTTATTGCTAGAAGTCTTGTTCTGTCTAGATTGTTCTAGAGTTATCCTGATAGAGAAATACTCCGGTGTTACTGTGAGATAAAGTGGGGCACCCATGAATGCAGAAAGCAGTCATCACCTTACCTAGTTCTCTCAGGTAAACAAAAGATTAAAACCACAAGACATTCCTATCCTCTCTCCCCTGGAATTTTTGTCTCCAGCTGGATTTTACACCAGGACAAGTAGCACATCATGCTTCACCAAATTAAAAATATATATTTATCATATGCTGTGTATACAGGGAGGAGCAGTTCTTGATACTGCTAGATGATTTATGTAATCTGTCAGTGTAGGTATGCTTCCCTACAGCCAGCCCTTGATGAAAAGCCAGGTAGAATCCAACACAGAGGGGCTGGCTGGAGTTGAGTTCCTCCAGAAAGGTGACTGGGTTGCATCTACTGGCCTCCTAGTTGCAAGACCTTGCTCTAAATTAAACCAGTTTATGAAACAATAAATTTCCCATCAAAGTCAGGCTCAATTCTAAACAATACATGATCATTCAGCTAACAACCTCTTTTTTAATCTCAATTTCTGTTAACACTTCCAGTTAAACCACAGAGCTGCATTTTGGGGACTGGGTTCAGTGGGTAGACCATCTGCTATGTGTAGAGCTCTGTTAAATATCACAGCCATTCATTTACTAAAACTCTATTTGATTTTATTGGTAAGTTAGCAATCTCTGCTTTTGGGTACTACTGATATTGGATTTGAATTGTGTTTAGCACTCCATGAGAGGGGTGAAGGCGGAAACAACCAATCTTTCTTTTTTTGCAGTGACTACTAAACCTGCAATATTAAATTTTCACAATAAAATGACTACTTATTTACCTCTTTGTAGAGTTGCTTATTTGTGCTGTGATGAAGTGTATCAAAGCTTTAGTATTTAATGCATTGATGCCGTAGAGCCTCAGAACAGTTTCTGGAAATGTTTCATACGTGTCCTCATTGTACAAGTATCCTGGAATTAGGTAGCAGACTTGCTAGTTAAGTAGAGTCTGACAGGCCTGCATTTTCATAGGAGTTCAGAAAGTGATAATTACTTTCTGTGAAAGATGCAATATATGTGTGTATATGTATATATGTTTAAAATATATTGAAGTGTTTCTGTGTACTTTGGGATGGCTAAGATCAGAACTACTGAGAATAAATTACCTGGTACTTGTCTTGATCTGTTTTTCTCCGCATTGTTAATGTATCGTGGAGGGAAAAGATGCAGTTGTGTTAATTCTATTGGAATCCTACCATTTAAGGCTTGTTCAGAGAGAATGTGTGTGCCTGTCACATGCATGCAAACTTCATGCTGATATGTCCTGATGTAACAGCAAATGTTCTGCTTTTTTTGTTCCGGCATCCTCTAAGTGGATGCACAGAACTTGTGTTAGCCCATAGTGTAGGCAGGTGGAGGACTGAAGAACAGTTGTCTATAACCAGCTGAAGGGGTGTTGCAAAGAAAAGGAGGAAAGAAGATAATCCCATGTACTTTGCCCACAGATGACCAAACAGTTGGTTAGGTGGAATTCCTCATAGTTCAACCTGCTCCCCAACTCATTTCCATTGAGCAACTTGACTGTAAATGAAATGTGGATGTAGAGCTTTTGTTGTCACCAGGACAAAATGTGAAAATAATGCCACCTTTTGGAAGGACTAAGAAATTCAGAAGTGATAAAAAATCTTAAAAGATGAGTTATCAGTAGCAGATTCACCAGGTGTAAGTATTTTAATGAAGGAAACAGTTATTGAACAACAGATCTGTTAAATTCTGGTTAGAAATACCAGCTACGATTTAAAAAAAAAACAAACAACCACCATTCAGTAAAGAAAATAAACTGGGAAAATTAGCTTAGGAACAGACTATAGGGCTGGGAGAAAGCTGGCTGTGATGTAACAGGTGGGTGCAGTGGGATGGTTGCCAAGGAGAAACTGACCTCTCCTGCACTGTGACATCACAGGGTCCCAACCAGCACAGTACGAACACCAACTCTCCCTTGCACCAGGTTGCTTGAACAGCAGTAGAAACATCAGTAACCAAAGCTTCTCCTTTCCATCAAGAAAGGAAGCACAGAGGAGGAACCATGGTAACAGACGTATCATTATCTTATTGGATAATGAGCAAGGATTTGGGCCTTTGTTTTTCTGCCTTCTAGGCAAGATATGAGGGACAGGGAGAAGGCTCATGGAAGTATTTTTGTTTCAGATTTGAAACTGCAGCTAAGTGAGGGGGACAGAGATGAATGGTCGTTATCTGTGGTCTTTCCAGGCCATCACCATTCTCTAAATCTTTCAAGCAGCATGAACCAGGGAAGGTCTATAATTTCTGTACTGAGTTTCAAGGAGTTCTCAATTGAGAGGTTGGGTGAATCTTACTAAAGGCTTTCAAACTTTGTTTGAAAATACGTCCTTGAGTAATGACACGTCTCCCTTGTTCTCCCATTTCAGCGCGAGTGCATCTCTGTCCACATTGGCCAAGCTGGAGTTCAAATTGGCAATGCATGCTGGGAACTCTTTTGCCTGGAACACAGCATTCAGCCAGATGGCACCTTCAGTGACCCACCCAGCAGCGATGATTCTTTTGCCACATTTTTCAGAGAGACAAGCATGAGTAAATATGTGCCCCGAGCTATTATGGTGGACTTGGAACCAACTGTAGTAGGTCAGTACAGAATGCATCCTGGAAAACTGAAATGAATTAACTCTTCTCCGTGCTGAAGTTCAGACCACTGAATGGCCCGTGTCTTCACCTTTAGGGATGATCCCAGCATCCAGACAGAACTGACACGTTTAGAGGTTTTAATAGCAAGTATTACTAAAAGATGTGACTCTCAATGAAAAGGTGAAAACTAACTACACTCTGTCATGGATGCTTTAACTGATACTAAAATAAAAGGTTTTCTACTCTCCAAACCCATACTGGTTGAATACAATTTGACTTTCTTAAAGAAAGTATTGTTTTCTTCACATTCACGTGGAAAACAAGAACGTGAATAATGAAGTGGGAGTGTCCTGACAGATGTTTTTCCTGCACGCCTTTTCTCTTCTAATAATTCCCTTGAAGGTTCTGATCAATCTACATCCAATCAGTTGGAAAAGCTGAAATTTTATCACAGCATGGCACAAACCTCATCTACTAAATTAATTTATTTGTAC